TTTTTTGAGTCAGGTATATCCCTAGATACTTCAATTTGTGTTTGGCTATTGAGAAGGGTACCCTCTTCTGAAGCCCCTCTTCTGTGTCCTTGTCTGATGTGTACAGTAGTGCGATAGACTTCTGTTTGTTGATCTTGTAACCTGCTACTCTGCCATATCCCTCTATTGCTTCCAGTACTCCTTTTGTGGAACTTTTAGGATTTTCCATACATAAAATCATATCATCTGTGAATAACGAGTTTCACCTCTACCTTCCCCAGATGAATATCTTTGATATCCTTTCTTTGCCTTATATTGTTAGCTAGGACCTCCACCACGATGTTGAATAGGAGTGGAGACAAGGGACATCCTTGTCTAGTTCCCTTTTTCAGAAGAATTGATCTCGTCTTTTCTCCGTTGACTACCACATTGGCTGTTGGTTTTTCATATACAGCTTGTATTGAGGGATTTTATTTCAATTTCTATCTTCTTGAGTGTCTTAAACATGAATTGGTGTTGGATGTTGTTGAATGTTTTTTTCTGCATCTGTTTGATATTATCATGTGGTTCTTATATTTCTTCGTTTCAATGTGATGAATAATACTTATGGTCTTTTGTATGTTGAACCATCCCTGCATCCCTGGTATGAATCCCACTTGGTCATGGTGAATTTTTTGTTTTATATATTTTTGTGTTCTCTTGGCTAGTATTTTGTTAAGGATTTTTGCATCAATATTCATTAGGGAAATTGGTCTGTAGTTTTCAATTCCTGTGGGATCCTTGCCTGGTTTAGGTATCAGAGTTATACTAGCTTCATAGGAGTTTGCCGTCTTTTTCTATGTTCTGGAAGAGTTTGTGTAGGATTGGTGCCAGTTCTTCCCCGAATGCTTGATAGAATTCACCCGTGTATCCATCTGGTCCTGGTGCCTTCTTGGTTGGTTAATTCTTTGATAGCCTTGTCTATTTCTTCTATTGATATGGGTCTGTTGAGGTTCTTGATGGCCATTGGGGATAATCTAGCGAGGGATTGTTTTTCCAATTCATCCATGTCTTCCAAGTTTTTGAATTCATTGGAACAGTCCTTCATAGTACTGTATAATTATCCTTTTGATTTCACTATGGTCCGTTGTAATACTCCCTCTTTCATCCTTCATCCTTGCTATTGAAATGTGTTCCTTCCTTTCTTTGGCCAAATTCACGAGAGGTCTGTCGATTCAATTTATCTGTTCGAAGAACCAACTTTTAGCAGCATTGATTTTTTTTCCAGTTTTCTTATTTTCTCTCTCCTGAATCTCAGATCTAATTCTTATT